TGAGCAGAAGTATTGCCCTCTATTTTGCTAGCGTATTTCAATAGAAATCAATCTGTTCAGTAGTCACAAAAGCAAGGAGCTGATTGTTTGAGGATGGAAGGACATTCTACCCGTGGCTCAGAAGTTTTGCTGCCGCCTCTTCTTGGCTTCGATGGCATCGAGGATCGGCTGCCGCTTGGACTGGTACTTCTGGCGGATTTCTTCAATCTCCTGCTCCATCATGGGGTCCAGGGCCGACAGCCTCCTCTGGAGCTCATCCACACTCCATGTCTTCAGCTAGCAGGGAGACAAAAGAAGATCAGACATTGGCATCAGTACAGCCACCACCCACACATCTGCAGGGATCCTGCTGCCGTCTGACGGTCACGGCGCATCTTCCGGCAGGAGAAGGCGGAAGAGTTCTGCTCCAGGCTGCTGCTCTCAGTGAGGCTGGAGTGAGCCTCAGGATACTGGGCTGCATCTGCTCATTTTACAGGTACATTACATGCTCTGTTTGGTGACAGCGTGAGCGTATAAACAACCCATGAGATGCTTCCCCCACTGAGCTGCTTTTCTAACGCTTCATTTTGCAGCTTGGAACAGAAATGCTGCATTGAGAAGGAGGAGATGAAAAGTTCTCTTCCCTTTTCCTTGCAACTAAACTTCCTTCTACTAAATGACAAAAGGAGACAGAGTGGAACAGGAAAAAAAAAAAAAGCACTGACCAAGGTGGCATTTGAAAAAAAAAAAAAGCATTTATGTACAATCAGGCTGAAGCTCAATCACGGTGAGGAATTCAGACTCTGCTGAGCCAGGAATCCCAGAACACAAACACACACACCAGGTCACTTTGGGTGAGCCTCATACTGACACAATATGCAAGTACAATTTGTATTTTCCTACACACATGAAGATGTCAGGGAGATCCCACCCTGATTTCCGTTCCTGCCTGCCCTTTGTTTAACTGCCTCTCCTGTGCTCAATTTGCTGAGAACTAGCACAGAAAAGTTTTACTCTCTGATTACAGAGATGCTAAGTGTGGCCTGAGACTGTCTGGATTGTCCACAGCTGCACCTTTTATGTAATATTGTAACATAATCTGTGGAACAGACAGGATTTTAGGATACTGTTAAAAAATATGGACACTGGAAGTGCTTCAAATGTTCACTTAAGCACCAGTCCTTTTCCCATCCAGGACTAAGTGAGCACCAGAAACACACAGCAGACACTGTTTTACAGCCACTGCAGCAGGACAGGGATGACTGTGCAGCACCTGCTACCAGTGAGCACCTGCTGTGGATGCTAAGAATATGCAAAATCATCGAGGCTTTCTTTGTGCATAAAGAACTGTCAATTTTTCGACTTCCAACAAATGTCATAATTGAGTGGTTTATCTTTCTTTCAGTTACATGCATATGATGCTGTTCTGGTTTAGCTGTTAATTAGTCAGCTGTCATGGTTATTCTTCAAGCCATTTCTGAACTAAAACACACAGTGAAATATTTGCTGCCTACTATAAGGCAATAAACGATTTACCTGCTGTTCAATGGCAGTTAGCATCCATCCTTAAAACTAATCCTAAAATATAGAAATCCTGATCTCTCTTCCTGAGGTGGAAGAGATACCAGCCCACAAACCACAAAGTCACCTGCTAGCTGATTTTTCACAAGGTCTTTTGAAGTCCTTTAGCAGATTCTGCTAAGTAAGATCTCTCCTAGTAGCAATTCCAGGATCAAGAATCCACTTTGATAATCCAGGCACACATGAAACACAACCTTTCTGCTGAGGGTATACAGTCTTTTGGCCTCTCCAATCAGGCAACTGTTCATTAGAAAGACAAAGCACTTCCTCTGCAAAGATATACATTATTTATACACATTAATGCAACTTTACCAGACAGCAGTTTAAGTTGATGCATGGCACCAGTTGCCTTTTCACACTAATTTATTATGGAGCAGGTAATTATTCAACATTCCCCTTCCTCACAGTCCAGGGAATTGAAAAGTCAAATAAAAATGCAAAAAAGAAGAAAATATTAACTCAAGTACTGAACACATATACTAAGCAGCTGCAATGGAGCAAAGGGCTGTCAGCTCTCCCAGTACACCCAGTGCTGGGCTGCTAAAAGAGAGTATTGGAGCAGATCTGAAACACCTTGCTCAAGGTTTAACCAAACTATTCAACTATTATGTGTTAGAAATTGTCCCAGGGCTGCAACCTTTCATGGATGTCCTTTGAGCTTTCTCCATCATCCTTCAAATAAAAGTCCTGGGTGCTGCTTACAGACAGAAAGTGTCAGAGCTAGTGGAGCAGAGGGCAGTGCAGTTCATAGAATCACAGAATCAAAAGACCTCCAAGATCATCAAGTCCAACCCTACCGTGGTTACAAGACCATGGCACTAAGTGCCACATCCAGTCTCATCTTGAAAACCCCCAGGGATGGTAAATCCATCACCTCCCTGGGCAGCACATTCCAATGCCTGATCACTCTCTGTGTAAAAAATCTCTTTCTAATATCCAACCTAAACCTCCCCTGGCAGAGCTTGAGTCTGTGCCCTCTTGTCCTGCTGCTGGTTGCCTGGGAGAGGAGACCAACCCTCACCTGACTCCAACCTCCTGTCAGGGAGTTGTAGAGGGCCATAAGGTCTCCCCTGAGCCTCCTCTTCTCCAGGCTAAACAATCTCAACTCCCTCAGCCTCTCCTCATGGCACTTGTGCTCGAGTCCCTTCACCAGCCTCGTTGCTCTTCTCTGGACCTGCTCCAGCACCTCAATATCCTTCCTGAACTGAGGGGTCCAGAACTGAGCACAGGATTCAAGGTGTGGCCTCACCAGTGTACAGTGATGGTCTCTCCAGACCTGAGAACGTGGCAGTAAGAAGAAAATTCTGCCCTACTGCTGTTCTTGAACATGATTGAGCATCATGGGACATCCTCCGTGGGTACTGACACACAAAGTCTTCCTGCTAACTGTAAGAACTGCTTGCCAAGGGACACAACGGCTCTGACAACTCCTGGGACTGTGTTTGTCAGGACAGATGGCTAACAGTATGGAAGATGCTGGAGTACAGCTAAGCCTGGAGTGGGCAAAAGCCCACAGATATATATTAATACGAACAAATTGGGAAGTGGGTTACCTGCGCAGATGCGTGACGCAGAGAAAAGGAGCTGCTTACGGCGCCCGATGACGGGTTAAACGGAACAGGGATGGTGGGAGAAGGAAGGGAGGCAAGTCTAAGTGGTGCAAAAATCTGGGAGCACAGGAACATCCTGTGTGCAATGCTGTGTGTCGGTGAGGGTGAATCACGGAGTTTTCATCTGGAGTGACGGCAGCCTGGCTGTGAATGCCACGCTGCTCCTGAAAGAGGCAGAGAAGCCAAAGGGCAACCCTGGTAAAAGGTCCAGAACGTGACTGCTCAGCCCAGATGAGCTGCCGAGAGAGTGACAGGCACCCAGTGACTAATGAGAGCCACGCGCCCACGCAGTGCAGAGGACGCCCAGCCCTCTGCTCCCGCTGCGCTTCAGGCTCGACAGCGCGAGCCTGGGGACTCAGCTTGTCCTTCCACTCACACACACATCTTTAGAAGAGCCAAAAAAAAAAAAAAAAAGAGAGAAGTGCTTAGAATGTGATGGCCTCCATTTCACTTTGCTGCGTGGCATTTCAATGTAAGCCCATGCCACAGCCAGTCTTTCTCCCAGAAATGAAGTTTTAAACTCCAGTATATCTGTCTCTGCACTGGTGCACTCCTGGGACACTGACATTATTCTCTCAGAGAAACGCCAGGAGCAAAATAAGACAAGAAGGACAAGGACAACATCTCATGACAGACGGTTACTCGGGGTAAAGTCTCAGCGCTGAGCAGCTGCAATTAGAGCTGGTTTTAGCCAAGGGCTCAGTCCCATTCCTCTCTTCACTTCTCAGCAATTCCTCTGCTATAAGAAATCTAAGTGTCTCTGTAAAAGCTATCTATTTTTGTCCACTGAGATCAGATACCTAAGACAAACTTTTAAAGGAAGGAATCTCATTTCAAATGTAAAGACTGCTATAAAGTACTTGTTCTAAGGTTGGTCAAACACATCTATCAAAATGGAGAGGAGGCAGCATGGGTTGGAGCAGAAAGCTAATTTTTAAGCATGTGATTAAGAGTTGTATTTTTAATCAAGGTTTCGGGAACAACCTTAACTCTGTAACAATGCCCAACTGAAGAGAAATGTCAGAGGTGCAAGTGTTCACCTGAAAGCCTCTCACCCACGGCTGTGCTGTTTGTTGTTCTTCAGACACCACTGACAGCAACATCTTGTTTTAATATGCTGACGATTTCTACTGTATAATTCAGAAGGACATACATAATTATATCCTTTGGAAGGACATAACCTACGGCCTTTCCATGCATATGCAGTAATGATGGACATATCAGGAACACATCATTTGAGATACAATTTCTTCCTCAAGGAGAAGATTTGTAAGCTGCTCATGACATTCCTTTGTCAGCATTTCTGACAGATCCGCAGGCAACTACCCCACTGAATAATGTTCAACTCAGCAAACTGCTCCTGTGTTGCCATCCTCTCAAATCAGCATTTTAAAAATTGGGAAAAAAACAACCCACTTGCATTTGTTACAGTCAGGTAAAGTGTCACGGCAACATGATATTCCACTGAATGTAAATGAACCTAAGCAGCAAAAGGAGAATAAGTAAAAGCTCTCTGCAGACATGTTACACATAGCCACAGGTTGGATATTCAAGGGCACCATGGTCTGAATTTTACACCTATGCTGTTCTGTCTGAAGCAGGAGGATGTCTGAAACCTGCCAGAGTATTTTTACACAGACCATGCCAGATGTCTGTTCCACACAAACCAAAAAAAAAATCCGTTGTAAAACACAAAGCCTAGAGAATTAACTCAGCCCCTGCCTTGTCCTCAAGAAAACCCAGCAAAAAACCCCAAACAGTAAAAACTTTTGGATTAGGAGCTGATACAAATGATTTATCAGAGTTCTCTTGGTACCCAAAGTACTTACACTGAAGAGCACCTGTAATGGTTTGCCTACAGCAGGATCTGCAGCTTGACCAGTTTGGGACTTGGCACACTCCTCTGGTCCCTCAGCCCTTCAGCAGCACAAGGTCAGCACTGCCTTGGACCAGCCTGAACTACTGACATAAATATGGTCATCCAGCAACCCCTGAGACACTTCAGCTATCATTCTTATTTGCTCCTCTAGCAAAAACACTGCCAGCAAAATCTCTTGCTGCATGAATTATGAGCATCAAACAAGAAAGGAGCTGTTTCCCAGCAGC